GTTGTGGTAATTTGGAATTCAAGCTGAATTTTTGGCAGCCAGTGAAATAAATGTATGATGTGCTTTTCATAATATTGTAGCTAAAACTAGATAAGATTAAGAATTTGGTAAAATTGAAAAGTAATTTGGTTAGATTGTGGTTCATCTTGTTCTGATTGGGTTTCTTTTCAGCCATGCCAACCAAATTCTCCGTTGTTTAAAAGAGAAGTATTTCAAGGAAATAGAGAATCTGGTGGTGGATGGTCAGTAAATTGAAATGCCGCAGCCATTAAGCTGGTAAGTTTGTATATATAATTATTGACTGGCATAATAATTATTAGTAATATGGTTTGAGTATTAACTATGTATAGATTGCATATATTTGGAAGTAGCAATATGATTGTTTGGATTTGTTTTCTCATTTTGTCTCTCATAGTTGAGGTCTACCTATGATGTCAATTACTGGCCTCTCTCATCTTTTTAAGTGGGAGAACTTGCACAATTGGTGGCTAAATACTTTTTTGCCCCACTGTATCTTCTAAGGCAGTGATGGCGAACCTTTTCTGCACCAAGTTATTTAGTTTAATTTGGAATGTGTTTATACTCCAGTTAGCACTTGGTCATTTCTTTAACGCTATAATTAAGCTCCACCTTCTTTGGCAATACAGGTACTTACCACCATTTGTTCAGTAACAGTTCAAAGTTCGATGGGCTAAATGAAGCGACTTATGACTGGTCACTGAAGTTATCACTATTGCAATGCCCCCACAGTCATGTGATTACAACCTGGTGCTTGACAAACCATTTTTACTTAAGACCAGTTGCCAAGCACTCTGATTATGTGGTCATCATCTGCAACCTTTACTGCCAGCTTTCCCAGAAAATACTCTGAAAAATCCTCACACTTTCTTCAGTATCAAGTGCCATCCAATTGAGGGCATCATCATCTGGCACAATATTGTCAATCATTGAATATTATGTTATATACATAGAATGGCATGGTGGTCTAGTGGTGAAGATGCTCACCTCCCACTCAGAAGGTTGAGAGTGGCAGATTCTCTCTCTCTCTCTGGGTGCAAAGAAAAATAATCTGTGAACTCTGCATGGTATCAGGAAGGTCATCTGACAGTAAATGCTCAGCTCCATCTAGTCACTCCAACTCTACCCCGAATTAAGACATTACAGGGTCGTAAAAGAGTTTTATTATGTTATGAACGTGTTTTATTCTTGGTAAAAATACAGCACTGTATTTTTTTAAAAAAATGCTATTGTTGCGAGTCAGGTAGCCTACAGTTTTAATAAATTATTTATTGTGTGAATGGTTGTCTTTGGCATTGCCATTAAAGTGATAATCTGCCGCCAGCATCGTCCTGTAGGTGCTGCTTAACATAGGTGCCTGCTTGTTTTACCTGGGCAACTAGTAGGATCTTAGCCAGGGGTGGGATCCTACCAGTTTAACAATCAGTTTGCTGAGCACACACAATCCACTCTGCCACGTGACTCAGCTGAGAAGATAAAGGTAGTTGGCGTGTGGGCCCACTTGCTCATGGGAACCAGCTGATCTTCGGAGCTACCAGTTTGCCCAAATTGGTCTGAACTGATAGAATCACATCCCTGACTGTAACTGCTTGAGTGACCCTGCTGAAAACGTATAGTCTAGGCATACACACCTGCACTCATCTTTCTGCCATGCTTAGGTTGCACAGCAGGACTTTGTGGGGAAGGAATATGAGTGATATACCACACACACTTTTAGGTAACTTGTACTGACTTTATTCAACTTACTTTTATGCTTCTCCAGAGATTAATCTCGTGGGTAAAATTATCATTTAAAAAACAAAAACAAAGATTGATTCCTTGCAGCAATCTATGCACTTAACTTCTACTTTGCTGCAAGCAATTACTTGCCTTAATTTTTTTTTTTTTCCCATCTGTAGGGAAAATTAAGCAACTAATTTTCCCCATAACGTTTTTCTTTTAACACATTAACATCAATATTCTTAAGCACATTAAAAGGAGGTTTTTTATGCACCCAATTTAAAATGCAGTTGCAATTTCTTATGCCAGTTCAGATATTCTGTGGATACTTTATTCAAGATGCTTTATTTTATTAGGTATCCCGAGGAGTTGGCATGGCATACAAACCTAAACAGAAAAATCTTGCGGAAATCTCCCCAATTAGAAAAATTTCATCATTTTCTTGTTAGTGAAACTGAATGTGTAAGTATTACCTCACTTGCTGTTTTTACTTTTCATTGTGGGCTTCATATGATTTCTTGCATTCAAGAAACTTTTTATTCAGAGTTTGTGAGCAAGCTACCTTTCATATTTCTAATAAGTTTGGAATAGGAACACTATTGAAGTATCATTTCTTTAGATAAAAATGTCTCCATATTATTTTTAAATCCTAAACCTTATTTTTTTTTCAAATTTGAAAAAAAAAAGATTTTGTTCATATTAGTACTTCAGTATCTTACATTTCTGACTAACAGACTGTATAATAATATAGCTCGTTCATAGCCTTGTTGTAAATAGTGCTTTATTAAATTTCATTTTTGAAATTTTAAAATTTTGTTTTGAGAAGTAATTATGACAATAATTTGACTTTGAGATAGGGTTTAATATTGGGAACATGTGTAGTCTTTTGAACTATCTCTATATACTATATAGAGCCAGTTTGGTCTAGTGGTTAAGGCATCAGAATAAAATGTGGGAGAAGAGCATGAGTTGAAATCCCACCTTAACCATGAAAGCCAGCTGGGTGACCTTAGGCTAGTCACTCTGTCTCAGCCCAATTCACCTCACAGGATGTGGTGAGAAAAATAGGAGGAAGGTGTGTTGGAAATGTCTACCATCTTGAGTTATTTTTAAAATAAAAGGGACAATATAAATAAATATGAACAAATATGTATATTACATGCAAATTGAGGCTTTGGAAATGAATTTTCCACACCCTTCCTATTCAAAGACTAGTCCTTCAGCACTGAAAATACAAATTAATGGCACCAGTTTACTCAGCGGATTGAAGACCTTATAAATTAATTGTGGTTGATATGTATGGATATTACAGTGAAAAAAGATCATATTGTATCTAAAATATTGAATAAAAACTTCATTTCTGCTCATTTTTATTTTATCGTCTCTACAATTTGAGCTCATCTCTTATTCATTTTGTGGAAACATACGTATAGTTTTCTTAGAAGTATATGGAAGTTTTAACCTCTTAGAGATTTTTTTTTAAATTGACAAGCCTAGTCTATAACTTTGGAATTTTCTGGAAGTTCCTCATTCAGGGGATTATCTAAATTTAAGATAAATAAATAAATAAATAAATATATCTTTTGCGTAGATATTGTTTAGGTTTTCTTCCATGTATATAAATATAAGATGAAAGTGGAATTGTACACTGTATTTATTTTGTTTTAGGGGAATATTAGTCGTCAGGAAGCTGTCAGTATGATCCCTCCATTGCTTCTTAATATTCAGCCTCATCACAAGGTATTCATGTATTATGATCTATGAAATTATTTTGTGGAAAAAGCATAAAGGAACATACACATTGATACTTAATACTCCACATCAGTATTGAATATCTTTTCTAATTTGGTTAATCAAAATTCATTGTAAAAGAATTGAATGCAATGTCTCTGCTTTAAATATCTAAAAATAAACCTTTACACTTGTCTTATCTTTGCCCTGATTTAACAAGGAAATGTTTGATATGTTTCATTTTTATGTTTGTAATTATTCATGTGTTGAAACACCTTCCATCTATCTTTTCTCCAATCTTTAATGTAAAGTGCTATTTCACATTCATTTTTTTAAAAAAATATAATGCCTTAGTTGGCTGGAGCTTTCCAGTACACTTATTGCTACCTTCCTATTTTGCTTTAGGTGGCACATTTAGAAAAAAAATATATGCCCCAGACTTTCCCCCTTTCTTCTCACATTCTTTCTTATTGTTGGCTTTTTCTGGGGTAGGGTTAAGATGAGATCATAGAAGAAAAAAAAGCAGTGTTCCATACTATTTCTAAACCAGGAGGTTCAAACACTTATAAGTTAATTCTATTTAGTCAAATTATTGGGCGGTCTCACAGTATTTTATTCATTTTAAACTTGAAAATATATAATTGTGGATTCCGCAAACATGTAAGTATAGTAGGTGCCTTTTAAAACATACTTGAATCTCTCATATTTTTTTCTTGGAGATAATTATTTTCAGCTGTAATGACTAAATCAGAATTAGAATGCCTGTACTGTAATTGAAAAATGATAATGTCTTGAAGAATTTAATACTTGCTGGATGCAAGACCCTTAATTCTGTAAGTTTCCTTCCCAAATCTCTTTACAAATACTGTTACATATAAACATATATGCTTTAAGTTTGTTAAATGATATCAATTTCCCTTTCTGTTAAATATCTTAATCTTGATAGATTCTAGATATGTGTGCTGCACCTGGGTCCAAGACTGCCCAACTTATTGAGATGCTTCATGCAGACATGAGTATTCCTTTTCCAGGTAAGTGAAGGAAAAAATTAATTTAGTAATCCAGATGGAAGCAGCATGAAAGTAGCTGTAATAAATAAATTTTAATTATGGTGTTTTGAGAAATGCAGTTGGCTTACTGAATTGATTATTGACTTCCTCTTAAAATCCCATCTTATTTCAACATTGATCTTGCACTGGACTTAGCACTATGTGAGTAGGTGGTTTACTCACCACTAATGTGAGTAAACAACATTTTAATAACATTTACTCACACTACTAAAGCCAGGTTTGTGTTAGGGTGATATAAAGAGAGACTTAAAAACACGATGTCAACTTTCGTGTACCGTCAGTGGAGCTGGATCTCAGATTACAGTAGCTGGTTTGAGATGTGTGTATTTATTGGGTAACGTGATTTATGACACAGAGTGAGGGGAGGAAAGGAAGAGGGGCAAAGTTCAGAAGCAGATAGACAAAGCAAAAGAAATGTC